GTACATCGGATATCGTCTGTAAATAACGCATGGTGCTAGGTTTCGTTTCTTTTGCACCCGTCCAAAGCTCTGAAAGTGGATACGTTCACCTCGAAGGGTTGGTTTATGGTAAATATTACGCTCCACCGATTCTTCTTGGGACCTTGTAAGACATGATCCACAGAAACCGAAGTGGGTCGCTTTCCCCACGCTCTGCAAAGATGTTCAAGTGTGGATGCGAATCTTTGAAAATCCGTAGTAGCTTGCTGTATTCGTGTTGTACTAAGCGGAAAACATCCTCATCATAGGTTCAATATATTTGAAAGAGAGTAATGGCTTTCTTCACCATATTTCGCCATGAATACACCAGCAAGCAACCATCGCATAAACTTTCTTCGCGGTTGGGTTCTATTCAATTGTTTGGGCTCAGGAAAACCTATTTATTCTGTTGGAATATGTTCGAATAGTGAATCCAATATGTTTTTATCAATGAGTGACATATTTTCGATCCGAAAATTGGTTCCCGCAGCTCGAGTGAACTGAAGTCAACCTGTTCGCCGAGCTTGGCAATTTGTTGATGACACATTCGTTACCATGAAGAAATCGGAGCCAGAAAGAACATAGAACATCATCAATGACATATGCAATGACATCACGGAACTATGCATGCAGACCTACTTCAAATTCAAGGGAGAAATCTACGAACTGCTGAAAGGAACATCAATGGGATCAACAATTTCCGGATTCATAGGGGAAACCGTAATGCAGAAGCTGGAGAAGGAATTACTACCAAGAATCATGCGAAAACGTTGGCTCCGATACGATGATGACATTCGTCATCTTGAAGAAGTCAGAACTAGAAAGAACACAGGACATCATCAGTAACATATTCAATGGTATCAAATTCATAATGGAGACAGAAAAGGAAAACCAACTGGCATTTTTGGACATCTTGATCATCAGAAAGCCATCAGAAAAACTGGAGACAACGGTCTACCATAAAGCGATCTATACGAATCAAATCCTAAACTTTAAAAGTTACCATCCACACAGCCACAAAAGATGCTGTGTTAGAACCTTGTTCGGAAGAATCAAAACGTGCTGCAGCACCGAAATACTCAAGAAAAAGGATACCTCCCCCGAGTAGTTGCTCATAATGGCTGCACAAGTAAGTTCGTCAAAAGAACTCTGACTCGAAGAAGGAAAAAAAACAACAGACGGGAACACACTCTGCCGCATCAAGGACGTTTCGGAAATAACAGTAAGGCTGCTCAAATCATATGGATATCAAGTCGCCAATAAACAGATTACCCGTCCACGGAGTTTTTCTAAACAAAAGGACAAAATAATAGCGAATGACAAGACTAATGTTATCTATAAAATAAACTGCGAGGTCTACCCAAAACAAAATATCGGACAAACAGGAATGAAACTGTCAACAAGAATCCGTGAACATCAATCGGCAATCCAGAGACATGACCCACTATCATTGAGTTCCCTCCACGAAGATCAAGAAGGACCTCAATTAGACTTTAAATCAGTGAGAAACGTCGACCGAACCCGGTCAAAATACGCTATAGAATTTCTCTAGGTTTGGCACTCTTCAATCAAGTCAATAAACAGGCACAGAGAACTGGATCAAGTGTGCACGCCGAATCAACTCATGGATCACATGAGGTGACCTAAGAAGGAACTAGAAACCGTACTCCAGACGAAAAAACAGTTCCCGCTCTCCAATTGCATTAATTCACTGATGAACGAAGTTGAACACGAAGTAGAACAGGGGACAGAAATCGTCACTGGAGATGAACATATATCGTCGGACTGGTGCAGGGAGAACAGTGCCGCTTCACAAGTACTGACGATGTCTTCTCGGCTAGGGATGAAACTTTTTCAATCAGAGTGCCAAGATCGGGGAACAGTTGAAGATGAACGTTTGAAAAGATTTGAATACCAGTTCCTGGTTCACGGGTAACTATGACTGTTTTTCCCATTGCACACAGCCGTCCTATTCGAGTCCTATCCGAGTCCCATGGGAGTCCCATTGGAGTCCATAAACCGAACTCCGATGGATTCCCATGGGACTCGGATAGGACTCAAATGGGACTCTATGGGACGGCTCCCCAAAGCAATGCCTTACATTCTATTAAGCGTCGCTTACATTTCTCCAAGCTTGCACATGTTCACTTACACACAAACTACATAATATGTACCTTAAATGAATCCCTACCAATGTTAGTTTATCGTGCATCATCCTAATCGTTGAATAACGAAATCCACGTATAACGCTTACCACCCGAACACCCTATTTCAATACAAGATACAATACAAAGGGCACATTGTAATGTGCATTTGACATAAAGCTGCACAGGATTTCCTCATTGGCCATCGGACAAATCCTCGGGTTGTTTGTTTTTGTTGCACTCTCTTCTGTGTCTTTTCCCGGGCTTTCTGAATCCATCTTTGTATTCCCCCACGTACTTTGACGTTAGTTTCACCGGGAAATTTATTTAATGGTGCAATCTACATAGCGGTACACAGTTAGATAATACGGTACTCTTACCGATCACCAACTCCGCGACATAAGTAGATTGCATCCCATACCTGTTGTTAGCGCCAAACATACGCATGTACAACTAGATCATTTAAACAAACTGTGAGTTGATTTAACCGCTAGTAAAATACACAATTTTAATGGTTTTGAGTATTTAATTTATCATTCCAGTAATTTATTCGTTTATTTTTTCGTATTAAATTAAAATTACGTATGTACAGCCCCGACGAGACTCAAACAGGACTCCAATGGGACGGTGGTTACCGGATTAGTCCAGGCGGGACTCAAATAGGACGGTCAACTGTCCTGCTGTGCGAACAGGGTTGTGTCAACACATAAAATCTAGCTTCAGTGGACTTTATTACATATTATTATTATTGTCTATGTGGAAGTAGGGTGGGAATTTTGCATTGAGAAATTTGTGGAGAGATAGAGGTTTGTATTCTAAAATATAAAGACGGGGTTTTGAATGACAGGCAATAAATAATTCCACGTTACTAGTTTGTATATCTTTTTCTTTATCACTTTGAAGACATATTTATCCTTCTTCAAAATTCCAAACTCATTCCTCATATGTATGTTCTGTACTCGTCATACGTCCACAAACAAAACTGAATAAACAACGCAGGTCCGCATGCGAAACGTTGACAGAATCCCCCCCCCCCGNCATCTTCTACAAAGTGATTTCTTCAATTGTCACTGATACACTTCAATACATTCTGCATTCCGTTTCACACCCCGCTCCACACTGATCGCAACAAATTTTCCGCATCCAATCAGTATCTGGCTCTAATCCTCAGACGCTGATCCCACTTGAATCGATCATAAACTTTTGAAGGCGATCTTTTGCCATTTGGAGCTTACTTCTTTTTTATAAGAAGAAACGTGACATTCTGTGACTGAACTTCCGAAATTTAATTATGCAAATTTCTCAGCAAATACAAATCCTTATGCAATTGGTATCATAGAAGTTTTGTGCAAACCGAACAAGCGTATCTACGATCCTGACCGTGAGGATTAGTTGCATTAAGATTTGTGCGTTGCAGTTCCATTAGGTAGACAGACGATCCGTATCTCAGCCGGCGATAAAACTACTTTCGAATCATTTCTGGCCTGAGTTGTTAGCCATTTTCAATGAAGAAATCTAAGAATAATGGAAGTATTCGTATCCTTCTGTTGAATTACGATTGAAACTTACCAACAAAGCACCCAAAGTCTTTTTTCCTGACTCAAAACAATACGCCACCATGACGTCACTGATAATTTTGTTTCCAAAATAATTCAAGGCTTACAGTGTAAAGCAGAAGAAAGCTGTGCCAGTCCGGTATGACTGCTCCAGTAGACTGTAAAAACCTAATATATCATTTTTGTTCAACATTGCCAGGTCCCTGAATAAACACTTGTTAAAAATGACATTAGTTTTTTTAAAATTATATAGTTACAATTTTGAGCTTCGGACCGAAACTCAGCAGATCTTTCCCAAAACAGATAACCTGTGCCTCATAAAGATGAAGTTGTAACATTTGGAGAGTTTGTGCCCGCAACCGCAACGAAAAATTCGCTCAACTTTTAAAGATGGTTTCGGTACGGTTTTGTGATAAAGAAGTTTTCAGCAAAGTGTAACAGCACAGTGGAAATCACCAGATGGGGAAAACATGATGTCCTAGTCTTCAGTCTTCAGGATTGGAGGCAGAGGATAGAGTGCTCGTGTAAGCCCCATCACCACTGGGTCGAAGGTCCGATCAAAAGTGTTCGTTCCTCCATAGCCCCCTCAGGTGTTTATCCAGACGCCGTTTGAAAGCAGCGTCTGTCTTCTATTCCGCCACAATCGCTGGAAGGAATTCCAGACTGCTGTTGACCTACGCGAGAGTCGGTAGACTAATGGAAGACCAACTGATTGAAGTTTCCGCAATGTGAGAGAGTGTCTCGGCGTGCGGTGCTCTGTCCGTAAAGGAAAGTACTGTTGCAACTCCAGGCCCATATCACCTCTCAAGATCTTCCTCGGACAGATGAGATTTCCCCTGAGGCGTCGATATGCAATTGCTTTTATTTGTTACTTGCATCACTTAGGTCGGTGAGCTTGAAGTCAATCACAAAGGCACATTTACTATTTTTAATGCCCAACTTTGGTAATCTATGCAGATATTGACGGGTTTTCGTTCATTCGTCTTACACTCGCGGGTCTTTAGCAAAAGTGAGCCACGGTGATGATGGCAACCTGATGAATTTTGTTTGCAATTGTTTACAAGGACACAGTCCATTTACACTGTGCAGCTGGATGAGTATTAAAAAGTGAAAATACTCAACTGTTTTCTACCGAAATTCACCCGCATCTTGATTGCAAACGAATTTTGGATTTTTCTCCTTTAATTTGAAATACAACTTGAAGATGGTGAGTTTAAAATCTAGAAGAACCTAAATTTCATGCATCGGGTTGATACACATATTGTGCTCAGGTGTTTCATTTTCACATATCTTCATCGATTTTACTGAACACAAATTATTTTAATGCCAAAATCATAGCTTTCTCATACTTACTGGTTCTCAACAGGGAACTCCCAAATATTGAACACAACATCGATCTGATTGATTGCATATGTGGTGCTGCACAAATTGATTGGGGAAGACTTTTGCACCGCTGGATAAGTGACTGAGCAGAACGCCTTGTCCAGAATCGCGGTCTTTCCCGAGCCATTCTGACTGAGGAGAAGAATTTTGAATGTGAACATATTACTCGTTTCATCTCTCCTGATCGAGTGCTGTGGAATGGAGAAAATAGCGCGGTAATTACATGTTCATAAAAAGAAACGATGCAAACAACCAATTATTTGAACCCAAATCGAAATTGCAAATTACCTTTCCTTGGTTGATTGTCATATCCATATACATGACGCCATCACTGTCATCACTAAAAAGACAAATGATACGATTGTAAATGATGTAGCGTTGAAGATGAGGAGTAGAAAACGTGAACTGAACTAGAGTTGAACAAAACCTGTTGATCATTTAGGACAAGAACAATTCCCGTTGCTCGCACCGAGAATGTGAAATATACTGATCTCTCGCTAGAAATGTAAGCGTTGCATGAAGATCACTTGTGTTGAAGTTTATATTGACCATTAATTTGGACTGTTGATGTAGGTGATCATTTCAATTTCTCTCTGTCCAATATTTCCAACTCAGTTCTGGACATTTTTAATATTACACACCCTCGTGTGACGAACAGCTGACTGGGTAAAACTGATATTCGAGAGGATCTGCGTTCCAGTGATGAAAACCAGCAACTTTAATCCCGGGAGTTGGAATGACGGACCACATAAGTCTCCACTAGGTCAGGCATGGTATTGAATAGGACGACAGCGAAGCTATTTAATGAAGCAGCAAGGACACCTTGAAAGATTCGAACAAATTTGACAATAATCACCTACAGACTAGGTGAAAAGTTAGAATGTAAGCATGCTATTTCTCAAAGAAGTATTCATTACCGCTCATGGAATAAGACCCTATGAACCATCGACCTAACAGGGTAAATGATTAGGGAAGTGTTAAAAACCACAGATCTTGAAGGTCAATTTGTGTCTAATGATGACGTTCGCGACTGTTTTCATAATAATTTGAACTGGCTATCATTCTGACATAATCTTTATGCATAAACCATATTTCATTAAGTCAGCGGAAAATGCACGAAGCACTCGTCTCGAGTTCCGCTCTTGTTAGAGATCATTATTCTTGTCTTTTCATCCATCTGCCAGGAGTTAGAACTCCAGACATTTTGCACGGAAGGCGTGTATACATAAGACTACTACTGGAATTGAAAATAAAATCTAGCCTGAATGGTTTATTTGAAAAAGAGCCCATATACTTGCAAGGGAGACCTTATCTGGTAGGAGGCTTTTGTTTGTGGTTACTAGATTGCTTAGTATGACTAGTCCGCACTTGTTCGAACGAAATATGAACATTGTACCGTGTGGCTAAACACCGGAGAGATGAAATCATTCACCATAGCAGTGATATGACAGTTAAGCAGAAGAACACACATCATAAATGTGGCTGTCATCCTTCCGCCCCCCTTGGTGTACGGTTCGGGATAAACCATAGAGATAGGTTTCCTCGTCACCTCCTCTGGGTGCCAGAAAATACCTTATGCATTAGTTTTCGGTTCCGTGAACTTTAACGCTCATCAAACTGATCCCGATGTATCTACACGATGGGGTGATAAAATGCTTTCGTAGTGATTCGCGAGCTCATATTTAGTCCTCCGATAGAACCTAATCCCAGTGTCCTAGCAGTCTTTCGCCCCACCCCCTGAGACAGCTTTCTTTGTTGAACCGATAATTGGTATTTTCATCTATTTGGAATGAATATGAATCACTAAAGCCGGCTTGTTTGCCACATTGCGCATAAATGCATACATGCGCATACATTTCGCTCGACCGTACAATAGTACGGTCGAGCGAAATATACAACCTCGCCTGAAGGCCTGTTTTCCGTGTTCTGTCTAGTCGGGTTGAGGAGATCGGACTGATTCGTGGGGCGTTTCCTTCCAGTTCTATTGGGACTTGCTTTGGGTACCGCAGTGGGGCGCAACAGTGCACCGTCACTGCTCCGCTGGTTCGTACTATTCTGTTTGTGGTTCTCTACTGCCGCACTTATCGTTGGTCACAGCTTGTGCTAGTCCAAACCAGATTTGGCTGTAGTCTATGTTGACAGCCAGCCTGTTCTTCCAGTACATTCTCTGCAGTACCTTTTTGTGTCACTACCTGCCAAGATCTCATCTGGATTTCAAATTTAAACTCTACTTTAAAGAAAAGTTCAACGACTGTGTTTCATTATTCCATGCTTGAGTTCTTTAAAATTTCCACTGTACTTACTCACCCTATCTGTACATTCTGGTGCTGTTACTCATCTTCTCTACTGCTCCCCAGTTTTATTTGCCAGTCTTAGAGTTAAAGTTTACACAATTCTACGCCGGTCTACTAAAATTATTTCGCGCACAAGAGGTATTCCCTATTTGCACTTGCTTAACTTTAACGCCGACAAACATTTTACCTCTTGCAAAAACTTCTGCAACAGCATTCTATCAGACATCACCCACCCATTACACACAGAACTTAAACAATATTTTTCTACTTCTGTAACTAGATGTCGTTATAAACTTGTATATGCTCGTACCACTACCTACCGTTTGTCCATTATCCCATATCTTTTGAAATTTCTGGCTCAAAAGGTATCCGTTAGAGCATTTCCTATGCAATTTATATTCATTTTAAAACTTTTACGCCACATTCCTTTGAATTTACTATGCTGTTCTTCACTTTTCTGTATGACAGTATGCGATGAGAAATGATCCTGGGGTGCAAGATGCCGCGAATACGTCCATTAGGACGAATAAAGCGATTTTTGACTTGACTTAACTTACTTCTGTGGGGTTCTTGGATGAGAAAACATGTGTACAACACAGTAACTTTGATCTTATCATGTATGTTAAAGTATTTTTTTTCGATTAAGGTCTTCAGTAATAGAGAAAAATATTTTGTGGTTAACGTTTCACGATTCTGGTGCTTTTTTTAAGGTCCTTTCAACATAACACACCTACATTCAACAATAATAGTGCAATAATGTAGTTCTTTTTATCTTGAATTGTTTGGTATATAACAGATTTAAAATAATGTCAATCAGTTATTGAGAAGAAAAGCGTTCATGGCGTTTCTTAAACACACCTAACAACAGGACCAACGGACCAACGGTATACATTGCTCGGACAGTAGTACTTCCTAACTTATCTACCGGAACTGTGAACTCCTTTAAGATTCATTGGGACTATAAAAATGACTACCAATCCCTATTTTAGGCAGTGATAATTTCCTCGAGGTCATCAAAGTACTCAGTCAAAGGTATAGCTGTTTATCATCCTTAAACCACATATGTGATTCCTTTCTGGTGTTTAGCAGAAATCACATGAAACTGTCTGCTGAGCACATTGTGACGAAAACATTTTCCATTTCTACCACTGCCATAATTTCGTTAACTTACTGAACTTTGCTGATGTGTTCGCCCACATTGACTGAATGTGAAAATTGATTTGATGGCTGTTTGACTGTCTCGTCTTTTACTGTGAGAATATTCGCTCTGTGTTCCTCGTCCAGCCATGTGTCATCGAATTCATAATCCTCACTGAAAACTTCTTCTTTCATGGATTGTAATAACGAGTCTCCTCGGGACTGTTCCGGTTCAAAGGAACTGCAATGCACTTCTAAATTTGGAACTGATACAACAAACCTGCATTCCACTTTGTTCCCAGTGAGAACTTTGTCCGAAACAACAACTCCGTTGACTGCCTGACACTGGGCGGACTCAGTTTCCCGTCCAAACACCTCGTTCACCTCATCTTGTAGACTGCCCTGAGTGATTAAATCCTTTAGGCGGTGTTCATGCAATGCTTCATCCCGTTCATCACGTAGACGGCGGTTCATCTCTCTGAAATGAGCGGATAACAATTTAATGTTGTGAATTATAGAAATCGGTGTTCCAACATTTAACCATGCCAGCCTTAGATGTGTCCTTTTATGATTCGTAAAATCTGGTCAGAATGAGGGATTTAGGGAGCTGATGCCAGAACAAATTTGTATTCGAAGAGTTTTAGCAGTGTGATGGAAGCGATTCAAAACGTTATTATACTCACAAGGCTGTCTTCATATTAGCTGAGGCATGGACAAATATGAGTTGGAACTGTATCAACCGAGTGTAGAACAAATTCTGTAGCTCAGGCTCTCTTTCTTAAGAATCACACCCATAACTCAGCTTTTGCCGTAGAACTCCTCATCTGATCTTAATAGTTCCATACTCGTTGAACTAATCCGCTCGTCCTACCCAAATAACCAGCTTGATGCTTGAGGTTGCACATTATGCAACAAATATCACCCCGGTTATCCTTACGATTTCGAACTCAACTCATTCTGAGAACTGTTTCCCCTATAATATGGGTATTGTAAATTTTCTCGTGCAATTTCACTGATGATAGTGACTGTACTATCCCTTTAGTTTTCATTTGACAGTAACTGTGGACTGGCATGACCCTAAAATACTCGTAATTAACGTAACCATGCCCCTTGGAGTGTTGAGCACTCAGTTCACAGACGGGAAAAGGAGCTCTAAACCCAGTGGTGCAGCATTTGGGTTGGAAAACTATGAGATTGTCACGGTGTTTTTCTCTCTTTAGGAGATCGGCTATTTCCCCAGGAGTGTAATGTAAGTAGTTCAATGCACATTGATGTAATAGCTATCAAAGCACAGTGGATAGCGGTTTCGTCCCCGCTGAGTCGAAGGATCATGGCCTGGATGCTCATCAATCATGCGGTATAGGATTATGCCTTTGGCTTCTTGATAGGGATGTGCATTTCGGATGAGTTGTCACCAAAGAAATATGTATCCACGGAAGTTTTCGAGAATTTATGGAATTTAA